AGTGGCCAGAGGCCTGGCACCAGCAGCTTGTGGACAAGCATTCCACAGGGGGTGTAGGCGACAAGGTCAGCCTGGTCCTCGCACCTGCCCTGGCGGCGTGTGGCTGCAAGGTTAGAAACCACCCTCCTTCCCAGATGGGAGCCTGTGACCCTACATGCAGCAACCAGGCCATCCACAGGCAGCTCCCAAGCTCAGGCTTGGCCCAAAGCCCCCAAGACAGTACCCAGGTTTCTCCCCACCCCGCTCCCCAGCACAGAGCTTGGGGCCCCTCCGGCTCCAGACCAGGCCCCCTGGAGCAGGAAAAAGATCCACTGATGGAATTCAGACCCCTTTCCCTTTGGGTGCCAGCAGCTTCCCCAAGGGAAGAGCTGAGGTCCTCTCTCCCTCTGCCCCAAGCCTTGTTTCCCCCGGGGACGGGTACCAACCTTCTCCCCTACTGACATTTCTCAACCAAGAAAACTTCCTTTCCATTCCCTCACCAGCTGGGCGCCCCTATAGCTGCTTAAATACTTTCTAAATCCAGCTGAGGTCCTAGCCAGGGAAGGTGAAGGGATACATGGAGGTGGGGGGAGAGGTACTGTGCAGGGTACTCAGCATCCCTGACCACCAGGTGCCAATGATCAGCGGACGTGGTCTGGGGCACACAGGAGGCACCTTGGATAAGCTGGAGTCTATTCCTGGATTCAATGTCACCCAGAGCCCAGAGCAGGTACGGGGGTGGGGCATGGATCAGTCATTGATCCAGGTTGATGATGGAGACCCTGGCCAGAATCACTAAAGGATCACTGGTGGATCATTAGGATCACTAATAAGGACATTGGTCAAGGTTACTTATGGGCCTGGGCCAAAATAATCAGTGGAACTTCAATCAGGATCATAAAATGGGGAGTTGGTCAAAATTATAGATGGCTGGTGGGGCACGATGGCTCATACCTGTAGTCCCAGCAGTTGGGGAGGCTGAAGAGGGCAGACCCCTCGAACCCAGGCGTTCAAAACCAGCCTGGATAACATGGCGAAACCCCGTCTCTACAAAATAAAAAAATTAGCCGCGTGTAGTGGTGCGCACCTGTGGTTCCAGCAACTCAGGAGGCTGAGGCAGGAGGATCACTTGAGTCTGGGAGGTTTAGGCTGCAGTGAGCCGTGATGATGCCACTGCACTCCAGCCTGGGCAACAGAGTGAGACCCTGTCCCAGCACTCTGGGAGGCAGAGGGAGGATCGCTTGGGCCCAGTTGGAGACCAGCCTGGGTAATATAGTGAAAACGTCATCTTTAAAAAAAAAAAGAAAAAGAAAAAATAAAATAAAGCCCAATGTGGTGGTATGCACCTGCAGTCCCAGCTACTGGGAAGCTGAGGTGGGAGGATCACTCAAGCCCAGGAGGCAAAGGTCTCAATGAACCGAAATTGTGCCAACTGCACTCCAGCCTGGGCAACAGAGCAACACTCTGTCTTAGGGAAAAAAAAAAAGGCTCTGGGCCATTTGCCAGAAGTCACTGAGGATAGGGGATGTTTGACCAGATGCAAGCGCTGCTGGAGCAGGCGGGCTGCTGTATCGTGGGTCAGAGTGAGCAGCTGGTCCCTGCAGACGGAATCCTATATGCAGCCAGAGATGTGACAGCCACCGTGGACAGCCTGCCACTCATCACAGGTGACCTGACTCCACGGCCTGCTTCTGCATGTTACAGGCCCCTGACCTCCAAACTCAAGTCAGGGTCCTCTTGTTAGGAGTTATGTGTCACCTGACCGTGTGCCCCCCTACCCCCATCACAAGATGCCTGACCACCACCATGTGAGGTGGCCTGATACACAACCCACCAGGTGCTGCCACCCCCATAAGGGACTTGACCCTCAATGCTCAGGGCCCCTGACCCCAAAGTCAGCATCCCCCAAGTCTCCCAAGAAGCTCCAGGTTCTCCATTGTCTCCAACCTCCTCTGCCTCCAAAGCCTCCATCCTCAGTAAGAAGCTCGTGGAGGGGCTGTCTGCTCTGGTGATCGACGTTAAGTTCGGAGAGGCCGCCGTCTTCCCCAATCAGGAGCAGGCCCGGGAGCTGGCAAGGACGCTGGTGAGCGGTGTGGCCTCTTCCTGGGGAAGCGTCTTCATGCGGGCCTAGCCTACCCTTCACCCTTCTCGTCCCCACTGCCTCCCTCCACTCAGCAGTCCTGCCTAACCCCAGTCCCACCCTCTTCTGCCCGAAGTCCCTCCCTCCCTCACGGCCCCCCAACCTGCTGTGACTTTAGAGGTCAAGGCTGGCCCAGCCTGGGCCTGGGGAGGCCCTCTGTGGCGTCCCTCTCCTAGGCCAAGTACAAGTTCCTCCTGGCCCCATGGCGAGGTGTGGCACTTCACTCGTTTCTGTTCCCCACCCCAACCCTTCCCTGACTTCATCCTGGCGGGCTGGCAACCCAGGGTGCAGCAGGGGCTGGAGTTCGACAAAGAACGGGCTGCAGGACGCCCCGCCATGTGGGGTCCGCGCTGAGCCTCGTCTCGGTAGGTTGGTGTGGGAGCCAGCCTAGGGCTTCGGGTCGCGGCAGCGCTGACCGCCATGGACAAGCCCCTGGGCCGCTGCGTGGGCAACGCCCTGGAGGTGGAGGAGGCGCTGCTCTGCATGGACGGCGCAGGCCCGCCAGACTTAAGGGACCTGGTCACCACGCTGGGTGAGGGGGACGGGGCGCAGGGGAGCGGCGGAGGGGGGTGCTTCCCGCCGGGGACGCCCTGGCCGGGCCGCGCCTAAGCCTGTCTCTTATACACATCTAGATGTGTATAAGAGACAGGAAGGAGGTAGCCCTGGGCACTCGCTGGACTCCAGGGTAGTTTCCCAGCTCCGGCTACTGCGCGGGGCACCCCGAGGGCGCGCTGGAGGGAGGAGCGAGGCTGGGGCGCCCGGGGGAGGCTCCCAGCTAGCACCGGTGTTCTCGGGGCGGCCGAGCACAGTCCCAACGCGCTCGCGCGGCTCTTTACGTGGTCCTGGGACCTTTCTGGCCACGAGGGCGCTGGCCTTGGTGGGGAGGGGACAAGCCCAGAACCGCCCGGGCGGAGGGTGCCCTCAGCAGGAGGGGGGGCACTGACGAGGAGTCCTGAGACCTCCACCTAGCAAACCTTCCGGGGGGGGCCGTGGGAAAGGCGCAAAGGTCACCAACGCAAAGGCAGAGCGTCGGCTGTGAGCCCGGAGGAGCTGCTGGGAAGCCTGGATGTGAGGAGGGTGGGGTTTCGTGGCGGTGGAAGTGTCGTGCGTCTCTGCCGGGAAAGGTTAAATACGGCAGAGGCAGAGTCCGAGCTCCAGGGGCAGGTCGTGCAGGTTTTCTGCCTGGAGTGTGGAGGAGGCCACGGTGGGCTGAAGTGGCCCGAGGTGACAGGAAAGTGCTGGAGGAATCGGTTACTCTAGGGACTGCAAGCCAGAGTTACCCACCTCCTTTTAAGAAATGGGTTTATTGCAAATAGATAACGTGGTTAGGAGTCCAGGCAAGGCATGCACTTGGAATGCTTTCAGTCAGCAAGAGGTTCACCTTGCTGAGGTGCAGGGCAAGGTGTGGCGACAGGCTGGTGATCCCAGGTGGAGGACAGGAGTGACAGGTGTGGATGTTTGGTGGTGTTCTGAGCTCAGGTGAGCAGTGACAAACGCCTGTTAAGCCTGAACGTGGGCTGGGTCCTTCGGATGGGTGACTGGTCTCTCCAGTCGCAGGGGCAGCCCAGGCACCGTCCTGGGCCTTCCCTTCTGGCTCCTGACACCTGTGCTTGTTTCCAGGAGCATCAGATCCATGCTGCTGCTGACTCGGAGCCCCACAGCCTGGCACAGGCTCTCTCACCTCAAGCCCCCAGTCCTCCCTGGGACCGTGGGAGGCCAGGCCCTGCATCTGAGGTCCTGGTTTTTGTCAAGGCAGGGCCCTGCAGAGACAGGTACGCAGGGCCAGCCTCAGGGCCCTGGGCTTCGAACCAGGCTGTTGATCACAGCCCTGTTTGGAGCTGGACTTGGTGGGGCCTGGCTGGCCCTGAGGGCTGAGAAAGAGAGGCTGCAGCAGCAAAAGCGAATAGAAGCCCTGCGCCAGGCAGCTGTGGGCCAGGGCGACTTCCACCTGCTGGACCACAAAGGCCAGGCTCGCCGCAAGGCTGACTTCCGGGGCCAGTGGGTGCTGATGTACTTTGGCTTCACTCACTGCCCTGACATCTGCCCAGACGAGCTGGAAAAGCTGGTGCAGGTGGTGCGGCAGCTGGAAGCAGAGCCTGGTTTGCCTCCAGTGCAGCCCGTCTTCATTACTGTGGACCCCGAGCGGGACGACGTGGAAGCCATGGCCCGCTATGTCCAGGACTTCCACCCAAGACTGCTGGGTCTGACCGGCTCCACCGAACAGATTGCCCAGGCTACTCACAGTTACCGTGTGTACTACAGTGCCGGCCCCAAGGATGAAGACCAGGACTACATTGTGGACCACTCCATTACCATCTACCTGCTCAACCCTGACGGCCTCTTCACCGATTACTACGGCCGGAGCAGGTCAGCGGAGCAGATCTCAGACAGTGTGCGGCGGCACATGGCGACTTTCCGCAGTGTCCTGTCTTGAGCCGCTGCAGCCTGGGCCCCATCATTAAACAGGGTGCGTTTAATCTGTGTGTGTGTGATCCGTACCAGCAGCCCATGGAGGTCAGGCAGCCGTCTTCTCTGCGCAGGACAGGTGTACGTAAAAGGGTTTTTGGGGGAAGATGAGATGGCAACACTGCTTTATTAGGCCGGGCCAGGCAGGAGCAGATGCACGGCTCCTCAGTACACATCCCCCACCCCTGCCTTGGTGCTCCCCACTCAGGGCTGGGCCATGGAGGGGGCAGTGTAGGTCTGGAAGCGCTTGTGGGCTCGCTGGTGTGTGAGCAGTCTCAGGGACATGGTGTCCACGGCCGTCTCCAGCCCAGGCTGCTGGGTGATCTCCACTGTGTAGTCATTGGCCTGCAGGGGTGGGGCATCAGCAGGGTCTGGGAACCGTCTCCCCCTCCCACGCATCCCAGGCTACTCACCAGCTGCAGGGAGGCCAGCATGGAACGACACACCTCGAAGGCTGGCTGGCCAGCCACCAGCTCCGCAAAGGGACACCACTCATTGAGCTGGGGGAACCGCGAGACCACCTGGTCCCCATAGGTGTGGATGTCAAAGGGTACGTGCTGCTCCTGCACAGGGGAGGGGCATGTTGGCTGTGGAGAGAGGCAAGGCCTGGGACAGGCCTGCAGCAGACAGCTCTGGTTCCCAGCGACCCCGCCTCACCTGCTCCTGGAGCAGAGGCTGCACTGTGTCCTCCCAGTCCCTGATGCGCTGGCTCAGCTCTGTCTCCTGGACAAACTTCTGGGAGGTGGCGATGAAGAGCTCCTAGGAGAGGATCAGCAGGAGGTACTGCCTCCCAAGCAGGGCCTGGGCGCCTCTCACCTATCCCCCTCCCCTCCCCGTCCCTCTCTAACCCAGGCCTACCACATTCCTTCGAACCAGCTCCTCGTAGCTCAGGGACACCGGCACTGTGTCTGGGAAGGGGCAGCTGTGAGCTGGGCAGCTGAGGGGCCACACTCTCCCTTGCCCCCAGTTCCAGTGGCCCCTCAGCACTCCTAGCCCGCTGCCCACCTACCAAGGTCAGCAGCTTCCCTGGGGTCTGCTCCCTCAGGCTCCACATACTCCTCAGGTTCTAGAAAGTCATCTGCTGGGAGGTGGGAGAGTGGACAGCACAGAGGCAGCTAGTCAGCTGGCAGCAGGTGCCAAGCCCCGCCCCACCCCCACCGGCAGGCACCCACCTGCTGCCCCCAGGTCTTCCAGAGAATCCTCCAGGTGGTCCTCCTCTGCAGACCACAGCCCCTCCTCGGCCCTCGGCAGCCACTGCTCAGCCACCTGTCCAGAGACAGCATCTGTGAGGGGCACTGTCATCTCCCATCAGGGCCGCCACGGGGTCCTAGATCACAGCTGACCAGTTGGGACTTGCCTCCCTCCTCTGCAGCTTCCGGAGAGTTTCCAACTGCTCCTTCACGTGTGTCCAGTACAGGACCTCCATGTCTGCAGACAAAGACCTTGTGAAGGCTCCCTTGTCCTTCCCAGGCCCTGTGCCAGTCCACCCAAGGCTTTGGTGACACCGGGTGGGGGTAGAGGTAGGGGAAGGGGAGTAAAACTGTCTTCCCTGAGGACTTCAGCCTCACCTGCAAAGGACGGACCCTTTCGCCGAGGCCTCCGGCTGTCAGCATGGTCAGCATCTGTGAGAGAACATGGTCAGTACCAACCAGGCCAAGAGCTGCCCACGGCAGTGGGGAAAAGGCGTTGATCCTCCTCCACTGGCCCTGGCCCAGGCCCCAGCTCCCAGGGGTCCGGAGAGCGTAGCACACCCACTCACAGGCAGCCAGGTACCACTGGTGGAAGTCCTGCAGCTTGGCAGCACCCTTCCTCTTGCGCTTCTGTCCCGGAGCCTCCTCCACACAGGGGGGCACAGAGTAAGGCCTACCTAGAGGCAAACGGGGACTGTCTTAGAGCTGCTGGGCAGTCAGGGTGCAAAGCCCTCTCCCACCCCCCTACCTCATGCCCCAGCAGACCCAGCCAGGAGTACCTGAGTGGAGGTATCTTCCACCCAATTACCTTTCTTGAAGGGCTTAGACTCCAGGGAGTCAAAGGGGTCCAGGCTCTGCCAGGGCTCTGGAGTCTCCTGGGCACAGAGCACAAGAAGGCGCTGGAGGAGTAGGGGGTGCACAGCCGCCCTCCCAAAGGAGTAGAGGGTGCACAGCTGCTCTCCCAAAGGAGAAGTAGGGGGTGCACAGCTGCTCTCCCAAAGGAGGAGTAGGGGGTGCACAGCCGCCCTCCCAAAGCCCAGGCAACAAGTGCGGTGACAGCCTGGGACAGAGCCGACCACACTCAAATCCTGGATCACAGAGGGGAACACTCGAGGGAGGGTGGGGGCCCAGAGTCGCATGAGGGGGTCTCTAAGAGAGCAAGTGCAAAGGGCCACAGGCTGAGAACACCGCAGGAGCAAGAGCATGATGGGCAGGCAGCCAGTCCTCGAATCTGCCCGTCCCTCCCTGCCAGGGTCAGGGCCCCAACGCTCCTACCTTCACGCAGGATGCAGGCTCTGGGGCCCCCTCTCGCTCCCGCAGCATGTACCTCCTGGGCAGGGCAGCACTCTGCAAAGACAGTCACAGGGTCTCCACTTCTCCCCTTTCTCCACTCAAGGCTCTGGGTACCTCAGGAACTCCACCTTGGGTCAACATCAAGAACTCTACAAGGGCCGGGCACGGTGGCTCATGCCTGTAATCGAAGCGCTTTGGGAGGCCAAGGTGGGTAGATCACCTGAGGTCAAGAGTTTGAGACCAGCCTGGCCAACACGGTGAAACCCCGCCTCTACTAAAAATACAAAAAAAATTAGCCGGGTGTGGTGGCGCACACCTGTAATCCCACCTACTCAGGAGGCTGAGGCAGGAGAATCGCTTGAACCCAGGAGGCAGAGGTTGCAGCGAGCCAAGATCACGCCACTGCACTCCAGCCTGGGCAAAAGAACAAGACTCTGTCTAAAAAAAAAGAAAAATCCTACAGGGGCCAGACACAGTGGCTCACGCCCATAATCCCAGTGCTTTGGGAGGCCAAGGCAGGCAGATCGTTTGAGCAAGGAGTTCCAGACCAGCCTGGGCAACGTAGTGAGACCCCGTCTCTACAAAAAATACGAAAATTAGCCGGGCGTGGTGGCACGCACCTATAGTCCCAGCTACTCGGGAGGCTGAGGTGGAAGGATTACCTGAGCCTAGAGAGGGTCAAGGCTGCAGTGAGCCAAGATCAAGTCACTGCACTCTACCCTGGGCAACAGAGCAAGACTCTGTCTCAAAAACAAACAAACAAAAAAACCCTGCTAGTACTCTCTGGGGGCATTAAAACAAAAACCCGAAGAAAAACTTTAAAACACAAACAGTGGGCCGGACGCCGTGGCTCATGCCTGTAATCCCAGCACTTTGGGAGGCCAAGGCGGGTGGATGCCGGGCATGGTGGCAGGCGACTGTAGACCCAGCTACTCAGGAGGCTGAGGCAGGAATGGCGTGAACCCAGGAGGCGGAGCTTGTAGTGAGCCAAGATCGCACCACAGAACTCCAGCCTGGGCGACAGAGCGAGACTCTGTCTCGCAAAAAAAAAAAACAAAAAAACACAAACAGTGGTCACGGGGTACTCTTCTTCAAAACTAAGAAAAACGAATAGAATATGACAAATATCCATGTCATCGACCAACCAGAGTGAAGAAACATTAACATTTCCTCTGTATGCATCGGGTTGATTTTCTGCTTTAATAAATAAAAAGGATTTCTTGGCTCTAGGCTGCGTATAGTTGACCCTGGGGGTTGAGGGAGGCAGCAATGGCCTCCAGACACCCCCTCCTACCAGCCCAACTGCAGAAGAGGCGCCTCGGCGACCAGCGGCCATCCCAGGTAGCTGTGAGCTCCGCAGGGCCCAAACCCTTGGACGCCAGCCCACTACTCTGAAGATCATCAGTTCTGTCCAGAGAGGGGAGGAACACGGAAGCTGCCGTTCCAAAGGGCTGGCTGCAGGACGGGCTGCAAGACGGATGGGCTTCTGCCCCAGACCAATGGCCTGGGGCCAAGGCCATAGCACTGCCCTCCTTGTGCAAGCTGACTCAGCCCCAGAGCCAGGGTTGCCCAGTTCACAGCTCAGGCTCTGCAGGCCTCCATGTGGGTCCCACCTGCTGCGGGCTCCTGGGCTCTTCGGGCTCCAGAGTGGCCTTGGGGGCCGAGGCCTCAGGAAGGTCTACTGCCTCCTCTGCATCCTCGTCCTCACCCCCGCCCAGGGGCGTCGGGCCTTCTGGAGAGGTGCCTGGACAGGGAGCAAGAGAGTGATCAGCTCCAAGGAATGTCGAGACCAGACGGCACCAGAGGGACCCTGACGGCTACTTCCTCCCTCAGCTTTAGTCACGGAACCCAGAGGATTCAGCAGGTGCCTTGCACCCTCCTCGTCATGCTAGTGTGCTGTGCTCTGGTTCATTTTATTTCTTGGCAAATGTTCCTCTTTAAATGCAGCCATCCACATCTGCCCAGAGAGGACACCCAGGAAGGCAGAGGGCAGTCAGTGAACCAAGACGGGCTGAGGCTTAGGTAAGGCCAGGGGCTGTGGCTGCTTCCCCGGGGCGAGGCCTCATTCCTGTGGGCCATGGAAGGGGTGTGAGGCTGGCAGCTGACAGCAGCGCCTTGGACCCCTGTCCACTGAGAGCTGCCTCCCTGGTCCCCTCTTTGGCGGCCACGCCAGTCCCACCAGGGAGCTTTCTTCTCACCTGGGTCCTGGGAGAAGCCAGGTGCTGGGACAGGGCTCCTGCACACGGACACTTCCATTGGTTGCTCCTCAGTCCTCCCGGCATCTGGGAGACAGGGATTGGACAAGGTCAGCCCAGCCCCTCTCCAAGATAGTCCCTGCCTGGTGTTCAACAAGCCCCTCCAAGGGGCCAGCAGAAGGGCAGAGTCCAGCAGACTCCAGGCCTTGGGCTGGGGGAACACAGCAGGGCCCTGAGCCAGGCACCAGGTCCCTGGCACTGAGACCACGTTAACTTATAATCAAGGCACAGCAGACGGGTGGGATGAGCACCAGCCAACCTGTCTAGACTGGAGCGGGCACCCAGAGAGAGGGAGCTCCCAAGACCAGAGGTGGCAAGCACAGGGCACCCCACAAGAGTCCACCCAGAAGACCCTCCCTCCCTTCCTTCCCACCAGGCCCCCGCATCCAAGCCCTCACCCTTCTGGGTCCTTGGCATGGAAGCGCCTGCTGGCTCCACGGGGGACATGCCCTCTGGCTCCAACATGAAAGCCCCTCTGGGGTGGGGAACGCACGTGTTCATCCTGAAATCCTTCCGGCTGGCCAGGACCTCACCCTGACGGCTGTGCTGGCGAAAACACGCCTGCTGTGGAGACCCTTCCCAGGCAGGCCGCCCTCGCCGCCGCTGGGCTCAGATCCCTACCTGTACAGGGGATTGTTGTTCTTCTCCACTTCATCAGGGGCCACCAGGGCCATGGGCAGGAGGGGGATGATGAGGACCTCCTGCATGGAGGCCGAGGGTGGGTGAGCCAGGCATCCTTCCACTCCAGTGGAGAACAGAGCCCACACAGGGCAGTGACACCTTCCCACACCCTATCAGCTCCACACAGCCCCAGGAAAGTGCTGACCTCGCCCCAACCTAAGAGGGGCCAGGCCAGGACTCACGCCGGGCGCCTGATCGTTCTTGAGATCCACGTTAGTCCGGGAGTCAGGGAAGTCATCCAGCGACAGGAACTGGAGGGAGACAGAGCTCATGGGGGCCGAGCCCAGGCAAACACACAGTGGGCGGGGGCCACGTGCCCAAGAAACTCACCTCATTCTCTGCCTCCTGGGGGGCCCCAGAGCTGGCATCCCCATTGGCCCTGTCCTCCTGCACCGAAGAGAGCTGCTTGGCCCGCCTGAGAGAGAAAGGTATCCCATGGGCATCCCAGAAGCTGCGGGGGCCTCCCTGGCCACATGCAGGGCAGCACAGTGAGTGGCTCCAGAACTCACCTCTTTCCAGAGATGAAATCAAGGGCCTGGTAGACGAGTGAGTAGAGGTATTCCACCTGGTGACCAGACGCAGGCAGTGAGGACCCAGAAAGGAGGGGCCCACCCCCAAGGCCTTCCCAGCGGTGCCCTCCACGAGGCCTGGCCACTACCACCAAACCTCCAGTACAAGAAACCACCAATTTTGGTTCCAAAACTAATTCTCAAATCAAACCACGAATCTCATGAGAATTACTTTACCAGCTGAGGCCACCCACATCTCTCCCCTGCCTGCTATGTTCCACGCAGCCGCCAAGCATGGCCTTCTCAACGGGTGACCTTGACGGCAGTGTGGTGCCCACAGTATGCCTCACACAGCCCTTGGTGGCCAGGCCCCTCGTGCTTGGCACCCACTCTGCCGATGGCCTGTAGCCCTGCTGCTCCTCCGCCCATGTGCTCCTGCCAGCATCACCCTAGTTCCTCCTCCTCGTGTCCTGGCCCTGCCCTGTCCCAGCTCCAGCCGCCACGGGGCCTGCAGGACACAGTCCTTCACCCACTTCCTGTCCTCCTCCTCCACAGAACCATGAGGGTAGTGGCTGCGGATTTTTGAGGTGCTGACAATGAAGCACCCACAAGTAGAGAATGGGGAAGGGTAAGGTGGGTGCATGGGGCACCCTGGACTGTGCCCAAGTGCACACAGCAGGTGTCATTCCCCCAAGACAACAGAGCCTAACAGCACACAAGACTCTCCCTGCCTGGCTGTGCGATTTAAAATTAAAAAGAGTTCTTGGTGTTGGAAGGTGCCGAGGAAGTGGCTGAGACCTGAGGAGAGAGGGAGGTAGGTCACAGACGGGATGACCACTGCGCCTGCCCCAGAAGAACTGACTGCGGTCCCACTGGCCACCGAAATGCCAAGACCAGCGTCAAGCAGGGCCCACCTTCTTACTGTAGACGCAGGCAGAGCCCTGGATCAACAACGCTGCCTCAATGAAGTTCATTGTGGTCTTGCCTTCGTCAAAAGAAATGCAGATCTGATCCAGCTGCAAGAAACAACACAAGGGCGGGGGAATCCAAGGCCCAGTCTGCACTTGCTGCTTCCAGGGCAGCCCCACCCATCATTGGTCTCTGCCCAGCACCTCCTGAGACGGGTAGCGCGAGCTCTGCTGTGGGCTCCCCGGTTGTCCCTGGTATTTGGGTGGATAGACAGGTCTCCGTGTTTCCTCCTACTTCCTATAACAAAAGCCTGTTTTGGAAGTGGAAGGCCCCCAGGGCACACTGTCTGCAAACAACCAGGGCCAGCACAGCGGCTCACTCCACAAGGCGCCGCCTCCACAAGGCGCCATAAGCTGACAGGCTCCAGCAGGAAGACCCCTGACACAGAGAAGAAAAGGAAACCTCAGGGGTAGGAAAAGCAGAGACAAAATGCTGAGGTTTCCATCCTTTGGGCAGAGAACTGAGGAAACAGTTACGGATTAGTCATTATCCTTCCTCTGCCCCCCTCAGCCTCCCGGAGCCCCAGCTCCTGTCACCCCTTAAATGTCAGTGTCCCAGGCATTCCACCCTCAGCCTCTCTTCTTCCCATGCAGCCCCCGCCATGCACATTCCTTCATCCCATGCCCAAGCTGCCAACCATGAGCCAACGAGCCCCAAACCCATCCTGACCAGCTCCCTCCTCAACTCTGGGGCTGCATTCACAGCTGGCTGCAGAGTACATTCAAATGTCCCCAAACACTTCACTTCCATACTTAACCCAAGATCCTCCCCAACGCTGGCTCATCTGTATTCCTTCTCAGCAAACGACACTTAGAAAAAACAAAAGGCCAGGCGCAGTGGCTCAAGCCTGTAATCCCAGCACTTTAGGAGGCTGAGGCAGGCGGATCATGAGGTCACGAGATCGAGACCATCCTGGCTAACACGGTGAAACCCCATCTCTACTAAAAATACAAAAAATGAGCCGGGCGTGGTGGTGGGCGCCTGTAGTCCCAGCTACTCGAGAGGCTGAGGCAGGAGAATGGCGTGAACCCCAGAGGCAGAGCTTGCAGTGAGCCGAGATCGCGCCACTGCACTCCAGACTGAGCGACAGAGCAAGACTCCGTCTAAAAAAAAAAAAAAAAAAAGGCCGGGCGCAGTGGCTCAGGCCTGTAATCTCAGCACTTTGGAAGGCTGAGGCGGGCAGATCATGAGGTCAGGAGATTGAGACCATCCTGGCTAACACAATGAAACCCTGTCTCTACTAAAACTACAAAAAATTAGCCGGGAGTGGTGGGGGGCGCCAGTAGTCCCAGCTACTCAGCTACTCGGGAGGCTGAGGGAGGAGAATGGCGTGAACCCAAGAGGCGGAGCTTGCAGTAAGCGGAGATCGTGCCACTGCACTCCAGCCTGGGCGAGTACATTCAAATGTCCCCAAACACTTTACTTCCATACTTAACCCAAGATCTTCCCCAACGCTGTGGCTCGTTGGTATTCCTTCTCAGCAAATGACACTC